GTTAACAAATTTAATATATATTTATTTCTATAAAAATTATCCAAGATTTAGAACAGCAAAAATGGGGTCACGGAGCAACGCCAAAATTTAGCAATCTATTAATTTTCACCTTATTGGTCTCTAGGAATACCTCTAATAAATGGAGCTGAAACGAAATAAAATTTACATGTTTAAATTAAGTTTTGCTGTATTACTTAAGATGCCATCAGGAAATGTAAAATATCGCTCCGTTTAAAAGATATCATTTTCTAAATACATATGGACTTGATTAAAAAAGGCAGAAAATCACGACGTCGGAAGACTTCACGGAGCAGCGAGTAGCAATAAATGTTTGCTTTTCCTTCGGGAATCTTCTTTCAGAAACTTTTAAAAAACTGTGTAAACCAGAAAATGTAGGAAAATAAGCTGCGTATTTGTATTAAATGGAAAATACAATTTTTGAGTGGTAGCAAGTTTGAATCGGACGGTGGATAGTCTGCAAAGACAGGTTATTGTTAAAAATCTTGCCAAAAGAGTAAGGGACGCCGTTAAACGTGATGTGCGCTTCACTAATGCGGAACTAATAGAGTTAAGGTAAAATCTTTGATAAAACTAACAATCTAGTCTAAAGCTGACATGAACTCTTAAAAAGGCATAATTTTTCATCTTCGTACGACTTACTAAAGTCCTGTACCCTTTGTCCGCCATATTTCTTCGATTCCGCCATATTTAATCGAAATTTTTTGGCCACCTGTACCTGCTATATAAAGCCTGGTACATTTGTTTCACTTGAGTGATTTTCAAGCCTGGCTGCCGACATGTACACATCTCCGATAGCATAGTATTTAGAAATCCATAAACTGACAAAATACATGTAAAAATCCAACAAAAACTAGAGCTATACTGACAGTAAATTATTTTTGAGTGCATTTGCTGCAATATAGAAAAAAAAACCACTTACATGGAATACATTCATGTACAGCAAAAACCGTTTGGATATGCACGCGCGTGCAGGTTGAGAAAACGCATCAAACGCATTAATAAAAACTAATTTACCTGAATACTGCTATCGTTACAGGGATGTGCACATGTCGAAAGAAATGTCCTATTTTATTTTTATTGCAATATGCAACTCAGAAATCATGTAATCATTGCTAACTCAACAGCAAAAAAATGTCACTACATAGCACTTGGACACACGTGGTCCATGCCGATCAGTTTATTTGGTCAGGGAAAATTTCAAAGGTGGAAAGTTTACTGGTATTTTGGTTGATTGAAATAAAAAATGCAAATATTTTTTTCCAGAAATAAATATTAGTCTTTTATGCAAATATTGTAAATAAAATTTATGAACAAGGCTTAAGTATATCAAATTTATTATTAGAATGCATCTTTACGAACCTTTCATCTTTTGAAGAGAGTTTATACGGTCTCATCCGAAGGACCGGTCAAAGTATTTTGGAAGGGAGGGAAACTGCCAGTAAGAATTCCACATTCTACCTAAATTAAGCTTTTTTTTATTCCTCTTGTCTAAATATTTTCTGTCCACATTCCTTATATGAGAAGGTATTTGAGAAAGTTCCCAATGTTCCCATTCCTCAGCTGATGTATATTTCACGTTTATTTCCCCTTCAATTTGAGCTTTTAGGTTTATTTTCTTGTCAAAAGTAAAATTATTCCAATTTTTGAACAAGTCTCGACATACCTTCTGATCTCTTCCACGGGCTAATAAATGGTACAATACAAAATGCGTAGGATTACAAACTATTATTGCGCGGGTGGTTAGAGGAGAGAGAGAGAGAGAGAGAGAGAGAGAGAGAGAGAGAGAGATCAATGTACAAAAGAGTAAATAAACATTCTCCGTATTCAATCAGGTTTCAATATCCCTACCCTTGCTAGAGGGTTAGAGATGAGTTGTTTAGAAAGTGACTTGAAAATTTTTGGTTTAATCAAGATTTTAGTAATACAACAAACGTTATATCTTTGTACAAGGAAAGACTGTTGGATATCTACTTTCAAGATTGTAATGCTTTTTTTGTACAAGCACATTGTGTGTGACATTTTTTTCCAAAATACGTGCATATTTGACAAAACCTATTCATTCTAAGTTGAAGAAAAATATTACAAGATTGATGAATAGGGCTTTCTTCCGATAACCTAAGTATAGAAACAGGAAGATACATGTACATGTATCAGAAAATTGAAAGATTCTGAAGTAATAGAATATTTCAGTTTTGTAGTGATCAATGTATAGAAGATAAATATCATTGTTTGCTCGAATGTCCTGTTTATGAAACTTGAAGAAAACAAGATGTGTTTGTGAAAAACTATGCACCCGCCGATAACAAAGTTAAAAAAAATATTTTTAGCAGATAAGTCAAGGTCACAAGGTCATTAACCTTGGTGTCATTTGAAAGACATTCATTGGTGGAGTATGCACACCAGATATGAAGTTTCTATCTCTTATGGTTCAATAGTTATGGCGAAGGTTAACGTTGACAACAGACAGACAGACACACAGACAGGACAAAAACAATATACGCCTCGGATCTATCGATCCGGGTGCATAAAATTATATCAAACCATATTATTTCGGATCTCCAAATATGTACAAGCTAGCTCAGTTACTCGGCTCTCATGAAGTCAGTGTTTTACGTGTAATTGGATTAGGAAAATTCCAATTACACTTAAAATTACAATTTTATCTCAAGCTCGTAAATCGTATCGACATAAGAAAGGGATTACAGCTGTTAATTTACAATACGTCGTCGGCATATCTAAATGTCGAGTTGAAGGCCACAGCAAAGCTTTTTCTTTCTTTTCATACATAAGATTTTGCACAAATTCTGAGGACAAATTTTAATCAGAAAAGCTCACTTGAGCCTTTAGTTCAGGTGATCTAACATGACAAGGTATTTTTATAGAAAGATATTCTTTATGATTTAATTCAAATTATCCCCTTGAATTTCTGTTCATTTTTGAAGATCCATAAAATATAAATTTATTGTTCCTCAAGCTACATTTCTTCAAAATTTCAACATAACAACAGCATATTACGTGTATCAAAGGAAGGTACTACTTATTTATGATACTCATTTTTTGTCTATATTGGTCATAATTACTGATAACAACTTAATTTATCAGGTTTTCAGACTGCAATTTTTGTTTAAATAGCACAAATTTACTTTACATAATACATTGGAAATCTGAATCAGCCAAGAGCAAACACATTTCCTAGCCGAGATATAGAAAAAAGTAAATCCGAATCCTGACTAGTAATTATGAAATTCTCACGTTTCTTTTTTTCTCTTTCTCTGTAATGTAATTACTATAATTTTGCCATAAGAAAGACAAAGGTTACTAGCTTGTTGAAAAAAAATTATTGCAATCGTTAAATTCTATATGATTAACACCTAATTGTTTGTATCTTAATTGTTTAAATTGTCTTGTTAAAGTATAACGACTCGTCTTTTTAAATGAAAAATGAAAATAACTAGCATCAGTCAAGCTAAAATATCCACTAATATTTAAACTAGAAATATAGAGCAGATCAAACAGGACCCTCACTTAAAAGCATTAGGTGGAAGCAGGTGCCAGGGAGGAGCAAGCATCCCCTGTCGACCGGTCACACCCGCCTTGTGCTTTTTGTCATGGTCGGGAAATAACGATAAAATCCGAGGACAATACTTGTTAAAAAAATTGGCAAAAAATGCTTACATGGATTACTTTCAATGTTCTTAAAAGTCTCCCACTTAATTACCCAATTCTTACGTGAATATCAACTTCAAAATACTTATGCTTACAATCGAATCTTTTTTACAAACAATTTTTACAATTAACCGATGATAAGTAAGTTTACGAATTCCTTTTCAATTGGAAAAAAATCAGCGGTTTACGATCGATGTCAAAAGCCTGCTCTTCAGTATTTCATACAGAAGAGCTGCATAAAATGATGAAAAGTCGTATATTTTGATGTCGTATATTTTTGGTAAAATTTTGTGATTTATAATATTCTATTTTTTATCATCCACATCTGTTTTACAACAATTCCCGAATATGTTGCTGTACAATGTTGTTAATACTTTAGAAAGGAGTAAGGAAAAAGGCTTGGTTCAACTTTTTTCTTGAACCCATGGATCTAATTTAAATTTGTTCAACGAACATGTAATTTAGAAATTCAGTATATGTAACTCAAATTGAATTTGCTTGTAAGAAATATTGAAAAAATTAAATTATAATATAAGTGTTTCATCGAAAGACAGAAAACGATGATAAGATTAATTGAGTTTGTCACTTGTAGAATTTTCATAGACAAGGACATTTTTTTTCAGTGGACCAGCCAATATTTATCGTGATGTTATTTAAATACACAATAGTTCTATTTAGAATATAGAAAAATTTAATCAATAATAATGGAATATGGCAGCAATCATACTTGAACATTTTACCAATAACCAAAAATAATGTCACACGAACCATCTTAACGTAAAGTTCTGGTAGTGTCAGAAACACGGCTTCCCACAAGCTTGTTCTAGGGGGTTAACCTTTTAGCTCAATCGGTAGAACACTACACTGGCAAGCCAGAGGCCCTGAGTTCAACTCACGTTGGTGGACCGGGTGATCTCTGGAAAGTAAACGTGAATGCCCCGAGAACCAGAGAACCAGAGAACTTCGCCCCACAGGTGGATGCACTTCGAAAGAGATAAGAAGGTCGCATTCTGGAGGGGGCATTGTAGTAGAGTCAGATACACGGATAACTACTAGCTTGGGCTACAGTGGGTTAACCCTTTAGCTCAGTCGGTAAAAGCACTGGACTGGCAAGCCCCGAGTGCAATCCCAATCAGAAACACATAAATCTCTCTGATACAGAGAATTAAAAAAAAAATTAAGCGTAATACGTAACGACATATGAACATTGTATAGTATACATCAGAAATAAAGTGCATGTGAATAAGTCGTATTTTGTTTAATAGTAATTTCGTGTATTTAAGCTATTGAAATACTTTTTACTACATTTACAGGCGTGAAAATGGCTTCCACGGGAAAGACTCCATTGAATCCATTGAATCGTGAGTTTACATTTATTGCATAATTTATTAATATATCATTTGCTCGTAGACTTATATATTTTAGATTAGCTAAGTAGCAACAGGGAGTTATATTCTATATTAATAATGTAGGTTCCTCGTAGGAAAAATACACTGTGATGGTTACAGTATTTGTTCCCTTCCGGTGAAATCGAAGGGGGCTACAGATTTCCTCTGAGTCTGTCCGTCCATTTAGCTGTCCGTCTGTCTGTCCCTCTAATTTGTCTGTCAGTCTCTCCCACTTGGTTTCCACACTTAATTTTTCTAAACACTTTCAGATATTGAGCTGATGTTTGGTATCTAAGCGTATCTTTATGAGAAGGCGTTCGGGTTTGCATTTCGTAAGGTTTCAATTATATTTTTTTTTTAATTTTAAGAGTTTTCCTCAGTTTTAAATAAATTGATTGCAGATTTTGAGTCAATTTTTGGTATGTGACTTGATCTTGATGAGTTTATGACTAAGTTTACATAATGTACCGCTTCAATGATCTTTTTATGGAATGGTGGAATTTTCAGTTTTTAGTGGGAAACAGATTACAATTATTTACCTTAGGATGATTAGTATTGCTAACGCAATACTCTCAGAATGCTTGTTCATAATGTAAATTTCATCAGCATATGTTAGTATTTTGCAACTGTTGGACTTTCAAAATATACGCTCATTTCTCCCATCCATACTTTCATCTGTCTCAATCTCTTTATTTGAATGTCAAACATCTCGGTCCGAAGACAACTAGGCCCGTTGACATATCGGCTAAAACGAATCGATTCAAAATTTAAAATTGGTCGGCTCGTACATGACATTCCTTCGCAAACAAGAAACTATGAAACTTATATTTCAAATTTGGGACTTAAATATCAGTTGAAACAACAGTTCAACAGGCCTTAAAGGTGATCTGAGTATCATGCAACAACTTTCCAACAATTAAATTTGATTCGCGTTTTAAGCCAGAGGCGACGAGATTCACAGTTTTAAAAGATGCATCATTGTTTATCATAAGTTTATAATACACATATCATGCTTACTTTGATAACTTAAACTCAATACCCAGATTAATAAATAGCGACAATCTTCTCAATTGATTAATGAGAATATTTGAATTAAATTGTTCGATGAAATGCATGATATAATCTACTGATCCGTGTATTTTTGCAAGACTGACACACTGAATAATTGTAATGGTAGAGATAAGACAAAGTTCGTTACTCTTAAGACTTTTTTGTTAAAAAAAAATCTTGAGAGCTAGGAGAGAAGACTGAGAATCTTTATCAGCGTTTAGTATTGCATGTCAAGCTAAAGAAACTATTGTCTGTTGGTATTTTACTTGAGCCTTTTCTTTATAAACAGATGACTTTGTCGATGAAAATAAAGAATATGCAAAGATAGTACTCTCAAAGAATAAAAGTCAGAAAGAAACAACCCTGAGAGACATAAATTTCAAAGACTACGAGCAGTATTTAGAAAAGACCCTCACAGAAACGTAAGTATAAGAATTTAGAACAAGAAAATAACAATATTACTGGGTTCATAGCCAACTTTTATTTTTGAAAAATTGAGGGTGAATTATTCAAACATCTTTTTCTTTCATTGTACATATATTTTTGACATAATAAATTGTTGCAGATTATACCCGAATAAATGTTAGTGTTTCAGCAAGAATTAAATGTGCGTACGAGGGGTAATCAAAAAGTTCTTAAACTAATAAAATTTCTTTAAGAAAAGAAATAAAATTAGGTTTTCGTAATGTTCATTGTTTTCTAAAGTAGTCCTCTTTGATTTTTTAATGCACATCTGACATAGTTTTGTCCACGTTTTGGCGGTCGCGGTTCTGCTGTGTTCTGTTCATAGTGGGTAAAAATATTTTTTCCGATTCTCATATTTAGTTTCATTTAAAATATTTTTATGAAAAGCACTGCTCATTTGTCAGAAATTGCCCAGTTAGGGCAAAAGGATAGATGGATTAGGATAATTATCCTTTTCCAGAATTAGCATTGTGACCACCACAACCAGAATAACTTGTCTTTGCTTATTAAATGTGGAAAACGTATGGATAATGTTTTTTTTTAAAATCATATCTGATATGTTTAAAGTATAACGTAAACGATATTTTTGGAATTTGATAATGATGTTATTGCTCAGATATTCAGCTATTTTTCTATCTGAAACTTGGCGATCTTTTATAACAAATTGCTCATGAACAAGACACGTGCTTTCATTTAGCAACAGAACAAACATTTGAATTAAACATCTCCCTTCCTTCACTGAAACAATTAATCCAAGGAATGATTGAAGTTCTTGCAAGTATATTTTCTTCACAATCCTTACATAAATTATCATATGCTACTGCAAAGGAGTTTCGGAGAACCAAATTAAACGTTTCAGTTCTTTTCTGCCTGAGTTCGACTGAGTCAACCATTTTTGTCAAAATGCACACACATGTTGACGTCATATTAACACTGTGACGTCCACACATGGAGGAAAACATTTAATTACATCTGATTTTTATAGATATTGTCTTTGACTATGTGTGCAAAATTTCAGCTTGATATGAAAAATGGTTTTGTTAATATAGAGATAGTTTGATCACCCCTCGTATTTCTCACTTTCTGTCTCAACTACCTATTGTACAGGCATTTTATATAAATCAAGAGAGTGAGGCATGTACAGTGGCTTATAAAAACTAAATATAAAATTTAAAAAACAGTTTCAATTTATTTTTTTCTGGTATAAAATAAAATTATGTTTTTCAGTCTTGGGTATAATTTTCTTTATATTGATATCAGGAGAAGAAGGCTGAGAAACGCATATGGTTATGCTGTCAAAATGTAAAAGATGTACAGTTTTTAAACATCATTAAAAATTAAATAAACCAGTAAATACATGTATAATGTTGGAAAATTCAAAATATGTTGACAATTGTTTGGATTACTGGTGTTATTTTAGATCAGTGGAAATAAGGATCCAAATCAAGGATGAATGGTATGGATATGGTTTTGATATACCAGGAGGACATAAAATTTACCCAGACAAAACAGTTGTAGAGGTAAGAACACAAAGATACGGCCTTTACTGACATTTTTAAGGGTGCATGATGAACTAGTGAGTTTTTCATCTAAATGCATTTTAATGTTACAATTATTTTAGGGCCCCGCAAGGATTTGTTGTTGCTATATTGCGATCACTCTGTCTGTTCGATCGTGCACTTACTAGTCAGACTTTTATACTTTTATATACCAATTTTTTTATAGTCCAATTTAATTCAAATTTTGTAAGTTGATTGAGTAGACCATAAGACTATACTAATTTTGATACTTATCTTAATTCTTGTGATCCAGTTTGAAGTTGAGGTTTATTGAAAGATATTTTATGCAGTATTTAGGGAAAAAAACGAAAAACAAGAGGCATGTGCGCTAAAACGCAGAACTTAGTCACTTTGGCCCTGCTATTTTCAATGGATGTACCCTAATGTAATTCTTCAAATCTTTATTTAGGTCCCACCCTACTCTTGGGCCTTGATGTCAACAATTTTAAATGTAGTTGCTTCTTTAATGTTAAAGTTTCAGCTCTTCTGGTCCAGTGTTTCTTGGAAATTTTTCCTTATAATGAATTTTAGATTTAAACTCACCATCTCTCAAAAGTGCTTTCTATTAACATTTGTGAGAAGTGGTTCAATGGTTCTTTAAAAGAGAAAATTTACACACGGATTGACAAACAGTGAACAACGGTTAAGTTGTTCAAGAAAAGCTCAAGTTTTAAGCTCAGATAGGTCAGAACAACAATTTAAAAGAAGTTTTTTTTTTTATTGCTGTTGTATATTAATTGAAGGAAACTGGTTTCTTTAACATGTACAGTTATAAAAGCTTTATTTCTGTTTTTGCTAAAATTATTCTTATTGTAAACTTAGAATAAAAGGATGTGAACTAAGACTAAAAAGATCAAACAGCACTGCAAATTATTCCTCAATATTGGGATTTTATAAAAATTCATGCCTTCTTGTAGTTTAAGCATGCATTTATTTGAATATTAAAGTTTTGTGTAATATATCTTTTACTGACTTGTGTACATGTATAGACATTCGACAATTATGATGATACCAATCTCTATCATGATCATATTCGTCAAGAAATAATCTAGTCTGGTCCGATTTATAGAGAAAAATATTTCTAACGGCAAATAAACTTTATTTGGTCCAGCATATTTTTTAACCTATTTCGAGTATGCTGAATCCGAAAAAATATGCTGGCTTTCATGTAAATGGCGTTAAAAAGGTCAAAATGGCGATTCAAAATGGTGGACATCCAATTTTTCTAATTTTCTCTTAATGTCGTTCAGAACAGAGAAATAACGTGTGAATATCTCACTGAGTGTAATGCAACTATAAAAATGATTATAGTTGTTAATATTATTACTTGAACTTAGAAAATTTAGTTGTTTTTAGATTTAATCCGAATTTTCTCTGATTTATAGAGTCTATTGTTTTTATATTCTGCTTTCTTCGGGTTTTTTCTTTGCAAATATTCAAATACTGTAGATTTGTAATTTTTCCTCTGTATCTCACTATTCTACAACTGAATTATGGTTCAACTGTAAGTTATAGTCAAAATGGCGATTCAAAATGGCGGATTATTATTTTTTCAAATTATTTCTTAGCTAATGTTCAAATAGGAGAAAGGATTTATGAATATCTTATTGAGCGTAGTACAACTACGAAAATAAATGACAATAGAGCACTAATATTATCACTTTTATTCGAAAAATTTTATTCTTTAAATTTGAAATGTGTAAATAAGCTCAAAATGGCGATTCAAAATGACGAACACTCGAATTTCTTAGAATACTCACACTTCTTAATTTTGAGTCGTTTTGCAGAAAATAAATTTATTACTGTAACAGTTTGTTTTTTTTAATTAATAGAATAATGTTCAAATGTTCCATTAAAGTTGGAAGATATTGTTGTTACTGACTTTCGATTTCTATGACACGTGTCTGTGCTTAATTGATTTTGACGACAATTCCGAAAACATTTTACCAGCTATTACCTGTCTCACCATGTGCTTCTTTATGTAAAAAGTTAATAATATCATACAGTTAGTGCTGTTTAGAGGACAATATGCCACTTAAGCTACCCCAAGAGCAGTATTCCCCGAGCATAAAGGCTAGTGAACATTGTAGTTCGAGGGTTGCTAATTAAAACCATATCAGTTGTTGGAAATTCTTCATCTATTTTTAGTCCAGTGTCGAAAAAAATAAATGCTTTATGCTCATGTAGAAGTTCTAGTGTAACAAAACTTAGGATTTTTAAAATGATTGACCACAACCAAAGAGAGCTAGGGATTATTACATCAAACAAATCTGAATACAAGATCTAAATATCAGCATATTTATTATTAATCATCAAAGCCAGTATAATATATTTAAACTATAAATTTTCTTGATTGTCCAGCTCTGATTCTGTGTCCCTGCATTTGCATTTGTTATTCTCAGTCGAAAACTTCAACTGTATTCACAAATATTTCATGTTGTGAACACATTTTCTCACCAAAATATGCACACAATGTGATTCCAGATGATAAAGTTTGGAAATTTTCTTCTTGATAGAATGACCTTTCTACCCCAAAAGACAACAAATCTATACGATCACAAAATAGAAAGCTACATGTCTTTAAAATTTTTAAAGATTTTCTTCCATTTTATATTAGGTTTTGGGAAACAAAATAACATTTGAAATTGACTTGAAAGGTGTTGTACATCGAGTGTTGAAAAGACCAAACTTCCGAAGACAGACTAAAACAAATAACATTTAAAGCTGGAATAGATGTTGGGGAATAATACTTAACTCTTACAAAATCTAATTTCAAAAACTAGTACAAAGGGTTCAATGAAAGCGGGCAAGATATTTTTCAGTGATATTCGATTGTGATCTGAGGGATGTGGAAGTGCGAATTGATAATGCCAGCGATTCGGGGGTGATTTTAGTTGAAAGGGGTTCAAGGGCTTTGGAACACGGTCAAATATGAGGAAAACATTTGGAAACTATCAAATCTACTGTCAACGTAATCTTCGCTGAGTAAAAAAGCAGTCTAGTTCTCTAAGCAGTGCTCTAGTGCTGTTTTTAGTACCCTATTTTACCTCTAGCTATCATACTAGCATATATATAGATTTGCTATTTGCTTATTCTTTCTTCAGATAGACACATGTAGAATGTGAAAGGAATCTTTCTTAATCCTGCATTTATTCCTTTTCATTGTTTTGGCGATAAATCTGTCTTTTCCAGATCTTCGGAAAAATATATATTGAATATAATTCACTCATTGTAGTACATGCCAATAGAAGATTTAAGAGAAGGAAAATTAACTGATTCAAAAAAAAAAAAAAAAGAAAACTCGCCTTGGATTAAGTTTCGCAACAAATACTCAGTGTCCACTTACGTGCATCAAAAATTATTTAGTAGATGTTACGATTCCCATTCTTTTTATATGCATGCAAAGCGAGCACAATGCAAGGCAGTATGTGGTATTAAGATACGGCATATGTTGTGGTATAGCCTCACATTACTATTAGTAAACAGATGGGATGGATGTTCCTGGTTGTTTGCTGCAAACTTATGAATGGGTCATTAAAGAGATTTTCCGAAAATTTGAATTGTAAATTACAACTGCGCCATCATTCACTTGTAGAATAGTAAGATGCTTAGGAAAAAAAATGTTAAAAAGTTAATCTTGATAATAAAAGTAATTAAACAAAGACCCGTGTCATAAAATTCATAAGTCATTAAAACAATTTCCTCGAACTTTAATTGAACATTTGAAAATAATTTCATGAATTTAAAAAAATGTTATAAATTTATTTTCTGCAAATGACTCCGAATTTAGAAGTGTGAGAACTAATATTCTACAAAAATCGAGTGTTCGTCATTTTGAATCGCCATTTTGAGCGAATTAAAAATTTTCAAATTTAAAGTATCAAATTTTTCCTGATAAAATTATCGTTTTCATATTTGTACTACGCTCAGTAAGATATCCACAAATCCTTTCTCCTACTTAAACATTAAGAAATAATTTGAAAAAAAAGAATATCCGCCATTTTGAATCGCCATCTTAACTTATAGCTGCACCATCATTCACTTGTAGAAAAGTGAGATGCAGAGGAAAAAATAAAAATCTTCAGTGTTTGAATATTTGCAAACAAAAACCTCGAACAAAGCAGAATATAGAAACAATAGACAAATAAATCAGACAAAATTCGAATTAAATGTAGAAGCGACTACTCAGCACTGTTAAGGCCTACATGTACTATGAGAAATCAACGGAAAATAGACGTGCAAAAAATGGTGTTTTTTTTTAAACTGAATTTATTTTAATTTAGCTGTTTTATTGTCACAGAACTTTAATACTTATGGAAATAGCATAACATAACCCACTCTATACTTTATGAAGTTTGGTCCCATCGATGGACAGTCACATGATGAATGCTTAGTTCGTGTACTTAATGTAGGTCAAGAACAAATTTTAATATGGCAAGGGCATACCCTAGTTGAAATTAAAAATTAAAGCTATTTATTGTTTCTGCATACTTGGTAGTTTCTGAAAAGTGCTGCTGCTTTGATAAGAATTTGCGTTTTAATAGTTAAATTTTCAGGTAAATAAGCCAAATTCGAAATATGTTTGACTTTTACCAAATATTTTGTGTATCAATAAAAACACACCCTCGATTTAAAGAACGCAGCAGCACTTTTCAAGTTAAAAAAATATCCTTTATCTATTTTCAAAAAATGGTTAAGATCTATTAAGTGTATACCCTTGCGAAAGTACGATTTTATGAGGCATCTCATTGTAAAATATACGTAACCTGAACATAAAAACACGACATAATTAATAAAATACCTTCTCTTGATAGTACATGTAAATGAATAATCGCACTTAACAAAGAATATACATTGGTATTATTCGAATATTTGAAATCTGTAAATTATATTCTGTTTAATAATAAAACGCATTTTTCATTATTAAAAATTCCTCAATCTGCCTCTCAATGCACATGAAATACGTCATATTTACCAAAATGACGTCATCTTAATAAGTTCATTGCTATCAGTGCTTTGTTTATAACCAGCTGCATGAGATGTAACTAGCAAGTTTTTTTTAATGCATTGATAAGTTTTATTGTTGTTTATTATGCTTATACATTTAAAGGTTGCAAATTGTTTCATTTTCAGGTATTATGAGAAATGCATAAAAAGTTATATTTGTATGTGACGTCACAGTAAACTTTTCCCGTATAAATTAGGCCCCGCCCCCTTTTCAAGCCATAACAATTCTGCGTAGATTTTCTAAGTTAAAGTAATAATATTAACAATCTATTATCATTTTCATAGTTGCATTACACTCAGTGAGATATTCACACGTTATTTCTCTGTTTTGAATGACATTAAGAGGAAATTAGAAAAATTGGATGTCCGCCATTTTGAATCACCATTTTGACCTTTTATCGCCATTTCATGAAGGCCAGCATATTTTTTCGGATTCAGCATACTTTAAATAGGTTAAAAACTATGCTGGACCAAATAATAATTTTTTGCCGTTAGAAGTTTTTTCTTGCCCTCTTTTTGAAAAATCTGGACCAGACTAATCCCTATTTAGAGAAATCATTTGCTGATTTATATTTTTTATATATTTTTAGATTTCCTATAATTTTCATTCTAACTTAAGTCACATTCTCATCTTTTAAGCTGCATCCCAAGGACTCTCACCTTCTGTAGGGACCTTCCTGAATGTTTTTGTTTTTTTAAATTTAAATATATATATATATATATATATATATTTACAATTTTCTTTTATTAATTTTCTTCTTTAGACAACTGAGGATACAATCAAGGTCAAGATTTTCAAGGAAACAAAATTCCGTCTGAAGGACGCCATGATGAGTTAAACCAGACCTACTAAGTGTGACAAACACAGACCAATAATGTGTATGGAGTAAAAAGAACTTTGTAGGTGGTGACAGCTACATGAATATCTACATTTTCTGTAATTATGTATTCTGTAATTAATTAAAAGCAGTTTTAAAAAGTCAAGATTTTTTTTTATCCAAAGGAAGACTGAATTTATTTCATTTTATGAATTTAACAATATCTTTTAATTTATTTTAAAAAAAAAAACTACAATGCTTAAACGTCCTTTTATCATTTTCCAGCTTTAATTCATTTTCTGATCAGAAATAAACACAATAAAATGATTCACAGGTGCAATTACATATTGTTTCAAGGTTGCGATTTACATTTGTGCATTTTACTGGAAACAGATATCTTAAATCTATGAAATTTTAAACAAGATAAGATGAAAATGTTTCAAGGAATTTAATTCCATTTGCCAACTATCTGTTAAGGGCTTCCAGTATGAGTATTGATATAACATCATATAGCTAGTGTAAACGTATATCCATATTTTGGTCAGATATATATTATGTTATATTGTACAGAAAAGAAGTTTCGGTTTCTTTTAATTCCAGAAAACCTAAAAAAAATTCTGGAAATAAAGAACTTATATAAGTACTCTTTATAATTTTGTTCTTCAAAATGAAACTGACTTACATACAGTGAGTAATAACGATATATCTCATTCTGTGCTTCTTTATATTTACCCAACCCATCTTTAAAAAGACTTGTATAATTGAGACTGCATACAAAAATACATATAACAGACCTAATAATAAATAAATTTAATAATCATTTGTTAAATTATGAAAAGCATGTATCAAAATATTGCTATCCCTACCAGGTCACACTCAGTTGATTTTGAACTAGTGAAACATATGGAGATAACGAACAGTATTTACAATCAAATGTCCATAAAACAATACAAAATAGGGGCAGAACAAACAAGGACCTCCAAAACATCAGAGATGGGATCAGGTGCCCTGGTAGACTGAGCATCCCCTGCCGACTGGTTATCCACCGTGTGCTCCCTTCCATAATCAAGAAATAAAGGAAACATTCGTCGTCAATTCAGTGACTAACAATCATATTTTTTGCAAAACCTTAGTCAGCATTTCAATCAATTATAAACTGTACTTGCTGACAAGGTCGTTGTATGACCATAGAACTTACGCAATAATGACTGAAAACGAGACTGTTGATGTTCTTGTTTCATAAACTTGTTTTTCAATAATTTATTTCCTTTTGGAAATTGATCATACGTATATCATGCTCTTGTAGATCGAATCAACTGAAAAATATAAGCTCCATATGCAAATGATGACGGTGTATTGCTGCATAGGTAACTGACGTTGACGATAAAAAAGTTAAATTCGCCACGTTTATTATAAAGCTTGGTTGTTACATGTAGATTACCATAACGTCTTTTTCTATTAAAATATAAAAATATAAAACAGATGTAACAGACTTTTTGGTATATATCGTATCAATGACAAAAGAATGAAATAACCATCGGCAATTTACGTCGTTGTAATATCAGATTGTCGAGTCGAAGACTGCATCAAGTGTTTTCTTCTTTTCACGTATACAGTTTTGAATAAAAAAGCTGCTTTATATGTACAAAACTATGTCTTCTTAAAACAGGACTAATTTAAAATATGATTTTTTCTTGTCAAATTTTAAACAATGAAAACAATTTACTATTGCATTATCATTCAACAACTGTAATGTGCTTAATACTAAGGAGCTTAGAAGTGAATTTACAGATAATAATGCATTTTCAATACATAATCAATAAAGCCCCGCCCTAACACCAGAACCCCTGATCCCGAGGCCATGAATTATGATATTTACAATTTAGGTAGAGGCAACCTTTTTCATCATTAGTTTGTACATATTTCATCGGCTTTATACCCAGCAACAGAGGAGAGGATTTTTAAAGGATTGATGCATTTTCAATACATAATTATTAAAGCTCCACCCTAACAAAAGGACCCCTGACCAAAGGCCATGATATTCATAATAGGGTAGAAGCAACCACATACCTCAATATTAATATACATTTAATTGTTTTCATAATACCCAGGGCAGAAAAGAAGAAGATTTTCAAAGAATTGTCACATTTTTACAGTGTGATCATTTGAGCACCGCCCTAGCACAAGAACTCCTGACCCTGAGGCCATGAATTATACAATTTTGGCTGCTTGATGTCCAGTTGTAAAGAAAAATATTTTTAAAGATTGCATTCATTTTGGTGGTTTTTGTCCCATCCGCCATACATCAGGCGGACAGAGGCCATTAAAATCATAATTCTTACTGCCATTTACCCACAAATGCTATATGCCAAAAATTGCTTGAAATTGGTTCAGTGGTTTCAGAGAAGAAGCTTTCTTCATCTTAAATATCTACTTACATGTACATGTAGTAGTTCATGGCATAATTAAGAAAGTAAAAGATTTTCATAGCATTCATGCACTTTCGCTTTAAAATCATTAAATTCCCACACTTACCTTAGAAAACCTAATCCAGAGGCCGTGGAATTCACAAATCGGAAAGAGGGATCTTTCCAAATCATATTTATGTATTTATTTCATTGGGTTTTTTTACCCGGGGGCAGAGGAGAGGTTTTTTCCACGAATTCACGCATTTTCATCAAAAAAATTATTAAAGCCCCGCCCTTACCCCAGAACACGTGACCCAAGAGATATGAATTTCACAAATCTGGATGAGGCTTCTTCCTTTGTACACATTTCATTGGTTTATTATCCAGGAGCAGACGATAGGATGTTCAAAGAAATAATAGATGTTCACTACATAATCAATAGAGCCCCACCCTAACCCCATAACCTTCAACTTAATGGCCATAAAACTCACAATTTTTGAAGAGGCAGGCTTTGTTACAACGCACTTTGAAAAATTCCGCACTTTGAATTTTTTTTTTCAAAATGCGTTCAATTTGGGTCTAAATCAACGTACTTTGAAAAAATAAAATTTCTTTTCAAAGTGCGTTAATATCGACCATATTAACTAACTTTAAGAAAATGTATTTGGACTTGCTCAATATTCTTGCAAATTTTAGGCATAATAAATAATTGAATCTTTTTGATAACTTGTCGGTGATGGGGTGGTCATTTCAGGATGTGAATATGAGCGATTTTGATTTTTCAATAATTTCAAAATTCTTACTCTCTTAAATGTTCCACTATCATTAGTTATTTTCCAGTTTACATGCATTTTATGTAAATTAATATTTTTTAACGTTTTCAACGTCATAACCGTACATACAAATACATATATTTAGGTTTTACCAGTTTATAATTTCTTGTTGTTATTCAACAGCATAGGGATCAATGCAACATATTATTACAACATATGGGCAGCATTGGCATCGGTACACTATTGTTTAGCAAAGATATACATAATATAGACATTGAAAATTGGGGATTGACTTTGGGTGCGGGGTCAATTTTCAATTATCTACCGACGGCTATGTATAAGGAAAATTAAAAAGTTGGACTGTAAAACTTTGTCTAATATAAGAAAAAATACCTAGGTAATTATTTTTCCCACATACCAAATGTTATAAAATTTGTAGAACTAATGTCAACTAAAAGCGAAAAGATGTTGAAACAGCTATGTTGTTTAATGTCTTTCAATATATTTTCCATCTCTTTTTATCTAACTCTTTCCTATTTTATTCACATGTCATCTTTATGTTATATATAAATTATGTACCTTTGACTAGTTCATATATATAATTTATATAAGTATGTTATTTGAATTCCATGTAGCAATCTTGGTTTGGCTGAATAAAATGAACTTGAACTTGAGACCTTCTAATCGTATTCTTCTTATTCTCAATTAGGTTAAGTCAATACATGTAAATTAAACAGTTTTTCGAAAGGTATAATTATGACAAAATGATTCTGTCAATTCCTAAAAATGATGTCTAGAATATTTGTTTTAGATATAATTTTTTCAAAGTACATTAAATCTTCTCATAGTTAAAATTTTGATGTACACTCTTAAAGCATTTTGAAAAAAAATTCCAAGTGCGTTTAGTGTGTCCCAAATTTAACACACTGCACTGATTTTTTTTTCAAAGTGCGTAATTTTTCAAAGTGCGTGGCCACAAGGCCTATGAAACATAGCTACTTTATTGAACTTTATTGAATGCTCAGGAGCAGATAAGAAAATTTCCATAGAAATAATGAATTTCACTGTAAAATCATTTAGCCCCACCAACACTAGAACCCCTGACCCCAGAGCCATGAAGTTCACAACTTTGGTAAAGGATTCAATGCTGATTACAATAATGCCATCAGTTTGACTTCTTAATGTCCAGAAGTATAGACGAAGAATTTTGAAGATTGCATTAATTTTGGTGGTTTTTGCCCGACCGCTCAGGCTTCAGGGAGGTTGAAAGGGGGCATGGAATTCACTTTTTTTCCCGTTCATCCATAGATTCTTTATGCTAAAATAGTTTGAAATTGCTTGAATGGTTGCAGGGAAGAAGCTTAAAATGTTCAAATGTTAACACACAACGAACGATGACGAGCGAAAACGGATAGCGATAGGTCACCTGAGTTGATTCATGTGACCTAAAAATTGTAAAATTAAACATTAAAAATTGTGTTAATATTGCACAATAATGAGAGGAAAGTGAACTATATCGTTGAACCCCGTGGAACACCTTTGTACAATTCTAAAGAATCGCTTCAATTTTCTCCCAGTTTTACACACTGTTTTCGATTGCTTAATTATGAATAGCTTAAGATAAGACTAATAGCTGCATTTCTAAAACCATACGCTAAAACTAGATTATGTGGAATAAAATCAAATGCTTTTGATAAATCAATCATTATTGCTGCTGTACTTTTTTTTATGATCAAGACCATACTTCCAATCCTCAACAATCTTTAGCAACACACTCTGACAACCATACCCTGGTCTAAAAGCTGACAATATATCATTAAAATGGCAATTGAAAAAAAAATCAGACAATTGACTATGAATAACCCTTTCAAAAATCTTTGACAATGTAGTAAAATCCTTTTTCCAAAACACTTTTCTTCTTGTGAAGTGGAACCACTTGTGAAATTTACAATATTGATCACAGGGTTCAAAATATGTTCATGGATAAGTTTAACAATTTTAGCCGATATACCATCAATCCTAGTAGCTTTTTTCAACCCCTTTTTGTTTTGTTAATTCATATACTTTCAAAGCCGTTGTCTACAGAGTGAAAAGAAATTGACTCAACAGCATCTTTATCTTTGATACTCTCACAGATTTTTACAATGCTAGGGTGTTCACTGTTTACATCAACACAATCCATTCCGATGTTTTGCGCAACATTTACAAAAAAATTGTTAAAAATATTGCATACTTCAACTTGATCAGACACAAGACTTTCGTTTTCAGACAGAATAATAATTTTCCTGACATTTTGAACATGGACCTTTGTTGGTCGAAAATGGCCTTTTACTTGGCCAAAAATCTTTTCTTTTTGGTCCAGCTGCACACCGTTCAATGAAGTTTTGGTTCAAAGGCTGAAGCTTAACTTTTGTTACATAATTTTTTGTTTTCTATAATTTTCTCAGTTTTGCTTAGACATGTTGGAGATACATAAATTATGCAGTTGTCGTTTCTGAAATATAATGCACCTCTTATTCATGTAGGGAGCTGGTTTTCCTAGTACTTTTCTTTTTTTCATTGGAATGTGTTTATCGATAACTCGAGTAAGATCATTGTGAAAATGATTAAAAACAGTGTCTGGGTCACCTTGTAAAACACCTGTCAAGTATTATATGACCTGAGCGCTTGCACATCCATATAAAAAATATAATAATTACCAAAATATATCTTAACATATGGCAAGAAACTTTTGGAAATCTATTTTTGTATTCATGAGACAGAAATTTTTCAAAGTCAAAGATTATCGACGACGTATTGTCAATTAACAAAGGTTATTTCCATTCACATGAGGACACGATATATTCCAATGAGCATGAAATAAGAAATGCCACAAATTCTGACACATCTGTTTCATTTTTGAATATTATACTAGAAAAAGACGTGAATTTTTATCTACAGCAAAGCTCTACGATAATTTTCTTGTCAATCGTCAACTTCCCCTACTTATGCAGCAATTATAATATACCCTTGTCACCTGCATACGAAGTTTATATCTCAGTTGATTCGATATAGAAGAGCATGTTCTACGAATGAATGAAGTTAGTTTTTGACGAATAAGTTGATGAAGCGTTGAAAGTCATCATTTCGTACCTGCAAGTTCTACTGCCAGTACAATGACCTTGTCAACAAATACAATATTTCTAAGTCATCCGATGACTGACTTTTTCATACTGATTGTTAGGCCATTATTATAACCCCCCCCCCCCCCCCCCCGCTTGAGAAGCGGTTGGGTAGAAGTAATCAGAATGTCCATCTGCCCGTCCGTCTGTCTGTTACGCTCTGGGGTACCCATTTCTTTTCCACAACTCCTCTCATACCACTGAATGAAAGTTGATGAAACTATCACAGAATCTTTATTGCATATTGGCATTATACTCCTCCTATTTTACCTTTTGATCCGACACATATTTTGGGATTCCCACAGCAAAACATGGACACTTCCATTAAATTTATATGGGAGGCCGGGGGTATCATTTATTGAGCTCAAAAATAACCTCTAGTTTACACACAGGATTATCGAAGAATGTTTTCTTTTTTCCCGAACACATCATGGAGCACAAGGCGTGTGTGACCAGGCGGCAGATGGTGATCACTCCACTATTGCACCTGATCCCACCTCTGATGTTTTTGAGGTCTGTGTTAACTCTGCTCATATTTTGTAAAGTTTTTTAACGTGCAACGTGGCCGAGCTTGGGTGTGTGGTGATATGTCTTGTATCACCGAGGCGTTACACTTAAGTTCGTTAACCTGTTAACTCAGGTTTTTGTTGACCAAATAAAATATAATCAAATATATACAAATACAATGGGTTTCTTCTTGATTGGACAATCACTAACTGTGGTCACCGGGTGTCTCCTGCTAGTAAATTTCTTCTTGTCCTGCCTTTCCACTAGTACTAGTACTGCTGCATCTTGGCACTTCCCCCACCTCTAATAGTGGTATGCCACCTCTCTCTACAACCAAGAGACTGCCTTATTCAGGTCTTACGTGATTTGGTCTACTGTGAAACACTTAGATGTTCATCCCCTGCATCCGTCTGCCTTATTCAGGTCTTACAACCGTATGCAAGAGAAGAAACAAACTAATGCTTATCCATTCCTTCACCAGAGAGGTCCCCTGAGTTCCCGTAACACAACATGTATTACCTCAGTGCAGCCCCCGTACACTGAGAATTAATATTTTTAGTGTTTAAGAATTTATATAAGAACGTAGGTAAAACGTTAAAACGAAACTAAATCACAAAAACCAATTTCCGTTTCAGTTTGATTGGATTTGAACTCGAATGCTGTTCGTTATCTTCACATGTCACAAAACACACAATTTTGAAAGACATAAGGCTATCATCACTGATATTTCCATTTGAGTGGTTGCAATCGAAAAAAGGAATAGCCATGCATATCTTGGAACATCATTTTTGGACACTTGAATATATATACGTTGATTAATTTAAACCACTTGCTTCAAACTACTGTGATAGCAAATAGAAGCAGAGCTCCATTTTTTTTAACGTTTTATTCGATGTTTTCGATTTGTTTGCATGGCACACCTCACTTTAAGCCACATGCTGACAATATTGACACCTCTCTTTAAGTCACATGCTGACAATATTGACATAATTGATAAGATCGTTCTATATACTCATAATTCTACTCTGAATTTTTAGATAAGATTTTTTAGTATTTTCTTGGTTGTATGATGTTTAACGCCCCTCTCAATCTTTCTAATGCATATGGAGACGCCACCACTGTCTTGCATTGCCGGTGGAGAGTTGCAAAATTTGTCTCATACTGGGCACTTACGGCCATTGAGCTGTAATGGGTCTTTTTTTAATGCCAGCACCTACTATGATAAGGGGCCTCGGTTAATAAGAGACCACTCTCCACTTGTCCAACATTGGGATTCGTACCCGCAACGTCAGTATCAACTCCTCACTCAGCGACTCTAGAGCAGACTCTCTAACCACTGCGCCACGCGGGTGACGTTTTAAAGTATTAATTAACTAAGTATAAACCGTTCACGGTAGCTCAGTTGTTAGAGCTCGTATCTAGCTCTAGCGACTGACTTAAGTCGATAAAAAATGGGAAGCAACTGTGCCTTCGCCATGCGCTCGGCACTTTGAAGTGAAAGTCGCGGGTGCTTCGGATGAGACATTAAAAACCGAGGCCCCGTGTCAGCAGCAGGCGTAGGGACGATAAAGATCCCTCACTGGTCAATGGCCCTGAGTGCCAAGTAAAGGTCAAAATTTGAAGACCTTCACCGGCATACGGTGAGGTCTCCAGAAGAGTGAAAAATTTTTGTGAGGGACGTTAAACAACACACAATCAATCAGTCAATAATTAAGTGTAAAGTTAAATCTGCGGTAAAAGTAAAAGGATATATGCCAATAATTCATGATTTTAATAATTAACCTTAAAGATTATAACATGTTATTATTTTTATTTTATCTAGGAATTTCATACAAAATACAGGATTTTATAATGAAAATTTATGAAAAATATAATTTCAAAGTTTGAGTCAAAGCCAAGACAATTTTAAAAGTTTAACAAATGATCATTAATGCATGTACGGATAATCTGCTGATGTTTGTCATAGCTGTCAAACATCTGTTCGATATCAAGTACGTGTACGTGTACGTGTATCTGCTTGTCTGATTTCTTCGTTATCAGAGATTCTTAACCTTTTCGACATTTATCTGTATTAGTTCGTACTGATAAAGCCTTCAGAATTGTTTTTGGTCAAGATTAATATGAATGATCCACATCATTTGTATCTTTAAAAGTTGAAAATGTTTCTGGGCTTCGTTATGTTACATGTTTTATACGTCTCATTTTCTATTAATCAATATATTTACAAATAAATGTAGTTAAATATATAGTCATATATATATTTCAAATCATGCATTTAGGTTGCGTTTCCTATTAAAAATTCACATCTACTTGTGTTTGCTGGAAATTAAAAATAGCATCTCAGGCGGTTCCCTGAAAGAGATAGGAAGGTTTCTGGAACGCGTCCCTTTCCAGAAGACATTATTTTCGGTGATTCCTGTGCATTTTAAAAGTCATTTTTATGCTTTTGATTACGTAAGATGTAATAAAATTCGGTTATCAAATTCTCCTTTATTTCGTTTTGCGTGGTGGTAAACGCAGAATTTAATTTTGAAATAATAACCATAAAAAAATCTGGTTTTACTTTTGTGAATTTTTGACACTTGAATAATTAAAAAAATTATCTCAATGGGCTTTGAACTATGTATTTTTGGTCCTGATGTTTTATTTTTTGTTTGCATGGAACAGAAAATGTTAAAAAAAGAAAGAAAAAGACATTAAATACAATGGACAGACATTCCTTGTGTACCTGTTCAAAAACATTCCCTTTACTTTCTGTACAATTTTTAAGATCGATAAAAATAAAAAACATGTTCTTACAGCAATTTTTTTTCACAATTTCTACACAACAAAAGAATGTTATTACGGTTATCATAAGACAAAGGAAGGTCCAAACAAACTAGGATACCCATTTTTTTTCTTTATTTGCACTTAAGCACTGATAACAGCTTAATTTGTCAAGTTTTCAGAATGCAGAATTATGCTTAATTAGCACAAGGTTACGTTATATAATACATTGGAAATCTGAACCAGCCAAGAGTAAACACAATTCCTAGGAGAGAAACAGAAAAGGTACATATGAATTCTGAATATTAATTATAAAATTATTATTTTTTTATTAAAAGTTTCTCTTCTTCTGTAAAAAAAAATCCTATATATTTATTTTGCCCCTATTTATATTATGATTACATATAGTAGCAACTAACAGTAAAATGTACAAAATAAGGACTACAAGTTTGTTGGAAAAAATATTGCAATCGCTAAATTTTTAATTTTTTAATTAATCAACTGTTTATATTTAAATAATTTTAATTATTTTTGTTAAAGTATTTTTTTCTCGTCATTTTTAAATGAAAAATGAAGATAACAAGCAATAATTAAGCTCAAAAGTCCACTAATGTATCAACACTAGAAATTTGGGACAGAGCAAACAGGGACCTCAAAAGTATCGATTGTACGTGTCACGGAGCAGCAAACATCCCTTGTTAACCTGTCATTCCCACCTTGTGCCTCCTGATATGATCAGGAGAAAAATTCATAGGACATTTTTCTTAAAAATAATGGCCAAAAATACTTTTGAAATGAAATCATTTTCGATGTAAATAAGTTTACCCCTTTTCATTAAAAAAAAAAAAGTCATCGTTGATATCAAAAGCCACGTTTTCAATATTTCGTACGGAAGAGTTGTATAAAGTGATAAAAAGTCGTACAGTTTGATGCTTTATATTTTGGTAAAATCGCCCGCGTGGCGCAGTGGTTTTTACAAAACAATTAAGGAGTGCCTTACGTTACCAATGACTGCGGGACGTGGAAACCGGTCCTTCGGATGAGACCGTATAAACCGAGGCCCCGTGTCGCAGTAGGTGCTGGCAAAAAATCACTGCTCAAAAACCCTGAGTGCCTAGCATAGGACAAAATTTGTAGCCCTCCACCGGCAAGTGGTTTCTCCATATGAGTGAAAAAAGAGGGACGTTAAACAATATACAATCAATCAGTCAATCAATCAATATATTTTTATTTTTGTGATTTCTAATGTTCAAATTTTTTAAGCATTCACATCTTTTTACAACACTTGCCGAATGCATTGCTGTTCAATGCTATTAATACTTTCGAAAGGAAAAAGGGGAAGTGTTTGTAAAACTTTTTCTGGAACCCGTTATATATCTTTGTTTTACGTATATGACATGTAACCCTTAAGCTCAATCGGTATATATAGAACACTGGATCGACAAACCAGAGGTTCAGGGCCTCTAAATCTGTTACGTTAAACGCCCACGGTTGAAACTAGGTGTTCTCTTGCTGGTGAAAATGAATACCCCTAAAACTTCGCCCCACAGGCGTCAGCACTTCGAAAAAGATGAGGACATCTCATATTCTAGAGAGGATAATGTATAAGCGTTAAATACGAAGCTTCCTTCTAGCTTGGGCTAGTGGGTTAACCTTTAACTCAATCGGTAGAGCACTGTACTGGCACAGCCATAGGCTCCGGGTTCAATCCCGAGCAGAGGTACATAAAAGTCTTTGATACCGAGAATTTAGAGAAAAAAAAATGAATTAAGCGTAATCCGTAATTAACGTCACATAAGTTTGTACAGTACATTAATACATGTAGGTGGTGTTTTGTGTAATAGTAATTTCATGTAATTTATTAATTGATTATTATTGATTTATTGATCAATTACTTTACGATTCATTTACAGTGTGAAAATGGCTGCAATGACTGAATTGAATGGTGCGTTTACATTTATTGCCATAAATTATTATCATATCATTAGATATAATTCGTAAACTTATGTATTATGGTATAGCTACTGTAAGCAGGAGCAGTGACCTATATACTATTTTTACATGTAGTATATATATTCCTTTTAGGAAAAATAAAATGTAATGTTTACAACCACTTAATAGTCCCAAACCGGTGAAACCGGAGAGGGGATATAGCTTTCCACTTCGTCTGTTCATCTTGCTGTCTAGCTGTCAAGCTGTTTGTCCCTCCGATTGTCTGTCAATCTCTTCCACATGGTTCCACATTTTATTATTTCTAAACGCTTGCAGTTATTGAACTGATGTTTGGTATGTAAGTGTATCTTTATGAGTAACAGATCAGGTTTGCATTTTGTTATGCTTCAATGATTTTTGACAAAAGTGTGGCATGTTTAATTTTTTAGAAGTTTCCACTTTTTTTCTAGACGCTTGCAGATTTTGAGTCAATTTTTTATGTGTGACTTGATCTCGATCAGTTAAAGACTAAGGTTTAATAAATTTTTATGGAATTGTGGCATTAATTTTTTTTTTAGTTGGGAAACAGATTACGCTAACCTTGAGGGGATATATTGCTAATGCAATGCTTTCAGAATGCTTGTTTATAACATGAATTACATCAGCATATGTAAGTTAATTGCAGCTGTTCGAATATCAGTATATACTCTGATTTCATAATGACTCCGCCTCTTTCTTCTTTTGAATGTCAACCACCTACGCACAGCGTCACCTCGGCTCATTGACATTTCTGCCAAATGACATCTCGTCTCAGATCTAGACGTATCGGTCGAAGATTTAAAACAGGTCCGGCCATACATGCCATCTCGGCCCAATTAAGAATTTACTATGAAATATATGTTCAGTTGTTGGACATAAATTAAATACCAGCTGAAACAACAGGCCCAGGGCCTATTAGGTCATCCGAGTATCATACAACTTTCCAACAATTGAATTTGGTTCGTGTTTTTAACCAGAGGCCATGAGATTTACAATTTCAAAAGACGCATCGTTTTTTATCATAACTTTTTTAATACACTTAGCATGCTTACTTTTATTACTCAAACCCAATACACAGATTAATAAATAGAGACAATATTTTCAATTAATTAATTAATAAGTTCAATGAATTAAACCATTTTACAATATGTATGACATATCTACTGATCCATGTATTTTTTGCAAGACTGACATATTGATTTATTGTAATGGTAGAGAAAAGACAGAATACGTCACTCTTTATATTTTTTTTGTAAAAGTCAATTTTCTTGAGAGCTAGTAGATTTTTAAAAGTAGTGGACTGAGAACTTTATCAGCAATTCGTCTTGCATGTCAAGTTAAGGAACCATTGTCTGTTGGTATTTTATACTTGAGCCTTTTCTTTATATACAGCTGACTTTGGCAGGGAAACAGATAATGATGCAGAGGTAGTACTTTCAAAGACTGAGATGCAGAGGAAAAGAACCCTGAAAGACATAAAGTTCTCAGATCACATGCAGTCTATAGAAAAGATACATACAGGAACGTAAGGATATGAATTTAGAACAAGATAATAACAATATTAATAGATTTATATCCAACTTTTTACAAAATTGTGGTGCCATGTTTCATTCGCACATATATTTTTTTGACAAATTAAATTGTTGCAGATTTCTCTTATAAGACCTTAATAAATTTTTAATTTTAGTTACACGTAAATATACATATTACGAAAGGTAATGAAAATGGTCGTTAACTAATTGAATTACTTCCACAAAAGAAATAAAATATCTGTAGAATCACAATTTTTCGTGCGCACAAATTTTCGTTGATTTGTTTTCTAAATAGTTTCCAGGGCACTTAGTTTCGATGTTTTGAAAGTATCCCTATCAATTATATAGTCATATAAAAATTTCGGGTGGAATTTCATTTTGTTGACAATAAGGAAATAAACGAAAATTAGTATTCAAGAAAATTTCAGTCTTTACAGTAGGTTTTAATGTTCATTATTTTCTAAAAAAAAAAAAAAAGTCATCTTTGATTTTACTGCAGATGTGCCACAGTTCTGCCATGCACGAATCACATGATCTAGGTCGTTGCGTGCACGTGATATATGTTCCGCTGTCTTTTTATAACAGTGTGTAAAAGAGTTTTCCGATTTTCATATTTCTTACCGTTTTAATTTATTTTTATATAATAAGAAGAACAGCCAATTTTGTCAGATATTGCCAAGTTACGGCAATAGGATGGGTAGTTAAGGATATCCTTTCCCAGATTTAGCCTGGTGAACATCACAATCTGAGTCCTTTGTCTTTGCTTGTTCAATGTTGAAAAAGTATGGATACATATCTTTTTATCATATCTGATATGTTTAAAGGGGTATGGACACAGTTTCTATTGATTTTTTAAAACCAATTTTAATTTTTACAATTCCTACCTAAGGCATCATCTAAAGATTAGCAAAAATTTGAACATCATTTGTTAACAAACGAGATACAGAACTTGAAGTTCTTCATAAGGTAAACAAGGCTCGTGCCTTGTCATTGTTTTCATATAGAAAAAAATAATATTTATAACAAAATGAAATTCAGCAGAGCAATAGAAACTGTATAATTGCATTTCAACTTAACTTCATTTTGAAAATATATACTCTGAATGAACATATATTTTAGTGTATTAACCTATGTAAACAAAGACATGACACAGACCTTGTTAACATAAAGGTTTGGAGCTCTAAATCTGTCCTGTTTCTCGATAACTGACGTTCAAACTTCTGATAATCATTAGAGAGACCATTTTTAAATATTGGTAAAAATGGAAAATAAATTTTGAAATTTTAGTTGAAACTGTGTCCACGCCCCCTTAAAGTCTAAAGGAACCGAAATTTGGAAATTTAATAATTGTTTATTTGTTAAGATATTTTTTAACTATAGCTTATAGATCTTTTATAACAAATTGTTCAGCAAAAGACACGTGCTTTCACTTTGTAACAGAGCAGAAATCATTTTAACCACTTCCCTTAAATGAAACAAGCAATCCAATGAATGCTTGAACTTCTGGCAAGTATATTGTCTTCATAAAACTTGTACATATTCAAAATATAATATGCTACTGCAAAGGAGTTAAGAAGATCTAAATTAAACGTTACAGCCCTGTGTTGCCTCAGTAAGACTGAATCAATCATGTTTTGTCACAAATCACACACATACATGTATTGACGTTATATTAACACTGTGACGTCCAAGCATGGAGCAATGCATTACATTACATCTGATATTTATGGAACTTGTCTTTGACTATAGGTGCCAAATTTCAGTGGAAAAATTGAGTTTGTTAATACCGGTATAGAGATAGTTTGCGGACTTTTTGATCCCTCCTCGTATTTCTTACTTTACACAATCGCGTATCTGTCTCAACAAGTTGTATAATAAACGTCATCTTGTCAGATGTTAAAATTATTCTGACATTTGCAGGAAGTTGTTCAATACTGACCCCAAATCAGAACAGTAAAAATTTCTGAATTTTATTGTGTGTAGCTGTTATGATGGTGCTTCTCCCTTTCTTTTTTTCTGGGAAAGGGTTAAAGGCTCTTAAGGATTCCCATAATGGTGTATGTGCAGGAGTAATTTGATCATTCCCGCACAGATTTCGAGTCAAGGCATTAATGAATGGCTATTTTATTAATATTTCTTACCTGAACTCAAAAATGAAATTAGGCATATTCAGAATGATTTATCTATATTTTTTTTCCTGTAATATGTCACCATCACAACATGAATTTATGTGCCATGTTTACTGTCCTTGATCTTTTTTTTTAATTTTGGGACAGCCAATGAGAGTTCGAAATCTATAGGCAGCGGATCTATAAAGGAATTACCTTATTTCAATTATATATAGCTGTTTACGAAAACATTTCAAATGGGATGGTACTTAGTTGAAAATTATAACAATTTATTTTGCATACAGTCACCGTATTCAAAAATGTATTTGTACTTTATCGGAGAGGGCTGTGGAATTTTAGCCCTCTCCAGAAAATGTCAGGTGAAATAAAAAAAAAAAAACTCGGAGATTCGGCTACATTATTGCATTACGCATAATGTTGGTAATATATTCTGATCAATTATTTTGGTTACTGGTGTAATTTTAGATCCCTCGACATAAGAATTACAATCAATGGTGAATTGTATGGATATGATATTCCAATACCAACAGGAGAGAGAATATACCCAGACAAAACAGTTCTAGACGTAAGAACAGAAACATACAGAAATAACTGACATTTTTAAGATTTTTTTATCTAAATTCATTTAAATGTAATAATTATTTTTAAGGTCCCGCTAGGATTTGTTGATGCTCTATAGCAATCAGTCGTCTGTCAAGCTATGCCATTACTTGTTTCACTTTAATACTTAAGTCTGCAAATTTTCTTTATTGTCCAACGAAGCTCAAAGTTTGTATATTTTTTGAATAGGCTTTAAGACTAATTTTAATACCAATTTTAATTCTTGTCATCCAGTCTTTCTTTGAAATGAGGTTTATTGAATTATAATTTTCACTTGACTTTACAGTTTACTTTGTGGGGACCTTGCTGAATAGTCAGTATTTTTTTTTTTATTTTGATATGTTTTGTTTACAATTTTCTTTTATTGATTTTCTTGAATAGCCAAGTAACGATACAATCAAGGTCAAAATTTTCAAGGAAACCTTATTCAGTCTGAAGAGCGCCATGATGAGATGAACCAGGATTTAGTGTGTGATAAACACACACCAATCATGCGTATGGTGTAAGAGGTACATTGTTGGTGGTGACAGTTGTATCCACATTTCTGTTCTTATGTATTCCATTATTAATCAAAGCTTTTTTTAAAATGTAGATGTGTCTTTTTGTCTAAAAGAGGACGGATTTTAATTCATGTATTTGTATTATAAAGTACTTTCTTCTTTATTTGAAATTAAAGAAACTACAATTCTTAGACTTTATTTACCAGGTCCAATTATATTTTATAGCTGTACATTATTTTCATATCATTATTATTTAAACACGATAAATGTATCTACCTGTGCAGACAAAAATTGCTTCAAGACTGTGATTCACGATTATGCTTTTTACTGGAAACAAATATCTTAAATCCATGAAATGTGTAAATAAAATAAGATGAAAGTGTTTTAATCTAATTAAAATTTTAGATCCTCTTGCACATTATATAAAAATAGATTTAAGATCGTAAGCTGCGAGTGCGAACGGATCTAACATCTAATATTTACTAGACTGAGAGTGTTTTTAAGGAATTTAGTTCCATTTGTTAACTATCTATAAGGGGCTTCTAGTAAGAGTATTGATATAACACCCATCGTAGTTAAAACTTTTATTCATATTTTGTTCAAATACATATTTTTTTAATTCCAAAAAGACCTTTCAAATTCCAGGAAAAAAGAAAATATATGTACTCATAGTAGTTTTGTTCTTCTCAATAAGTCGGATTTTATTTAGTAATACATAATATGTTTATCTTTTATTAATAAAAGATTAAAAAAAAAAAAACCAAAGTCTGATTTAACGCTCTATTCTGGATATTCTTTTGCATTACATCAGGTTCTGAGCTATGCATCGGCCTTTCGTTTCTTCCTTGATACTGATAAGTTGAAAATAATCGACACGTACATGACAACGGGAAATTTTACAACTAACTGAACCATGCGATAATATGCACTTAATATTCATGTCATAGAAATATGACGTTTCCTTTTCCCTGCAAGCAATTTATAGCACAGTTTACAAATTTTTCTTCAAATTAAGTGAAAATAATACGTAACTAGAAACGATCTCGTTGCGAGCAACGAGAGGTCTTCCGTCCGATTTAGGAAAAAAAACCCCTAAAATCGAGCTGAAAAAGTGATAAAAATATTTGGTCACAAAAGAAGATTGAACCCAGTTTGTCAGCGTGAAAATCAAACGCACTTTTTTACCTTTTTTTATTCCGAACGCGCTTAAATTACGCTATTGAGTCCACTGCTCTAAATGTACTTATATATACTTCTTCAACAATACACCTGTTTAAAAAATTACGAAAGGCGTGCTACTATTCATAATTTCGCGCCAAACGCCACGAGTAAATCTTAGCGCCTTTTCTTTGGAATGTTCCATTAAATAGGTATGATAGCTTCAATAAAATTAAGAAAAAGGAACGTTCTTTAAGCTTAAATTTCGAGGTTTAGAAAGTATATTTAACGGATTGTACATATTTTATATCTAATATAGGTTATTAACACAAAAGAACTGAAATGGTAATCATTTTTAACTTTTTTTTTTATTTCCCGTTTTCCCCCAAACTGAACTAACACCTTCATGAAAAGGTAGAAATGGTTCGCTGAAAGATATGTCTCGCCCTACGACGGTCAAGGAATCAGATATCATTTATGTTCAATGTTCAGTGTTCAACTTTAAATATCTTTGAGAAAAGAATGTTAATATAAACTAAATTAAACGGTCTTTTAAAATATGATTTTCTTATTTTTGTCTCTTCTGTTTGTTTAATATGACACAAGTGTGCATCGGAAAAACAGTGGTTACGTTTTATACTTACTATATACATCGATATTGTTTCTTGAAAAACTATTACTTATAACCATCATCATCATCATCATGATAATTTAAAATCTGCAAAAACAAATGATAGTAGGTATCTCTCATATGCACATTCAGTCTTTTCTTTTTCTACTTTGAGAACCAGCCAAAACCAATAATAGAAAACGTTAGAAAAGACCCTGGAATAAATCTTTAGTTTTACACAGAATTGTAACGTTATTACTACGTGACAATCCAGTAGTCTTAACCTTTCATTTATCCCTATCTTAATTTCGTTTAAGCAAACGCTCGGATGCCTCCATAAACCCCTACTCGCGAAATGGCGGTGTTGACAGAGACAGCCGCCATCTTGATCCCGCTTCGTATTTTCAAATGTTAATATCTAGAGTTCAGACTAACCAATATTCAAACAAATTATATAGTAAGCTCTGTTGAAAGAGTGTCTTTTAGCATTCCAAAAAGAAATTAAAAATATTGAAAATCAAAAAAGTTAGAAAATTCGATTTTTTATCTTCGCATCTCCTTACGACAGGAAGTACTGACGACGAACGAATTGTCGCGTCCTGGATAGCAAATATCACGGTTTATAATCCCTGAAAGTTTCATGTTGATATCTTTTACCGTTTTTGAGTTTAATTGTGGACAAAATGTCATTTTAATTTCAGGAAAAGTCCCGTAACTTGGCACCGGAAGCGAGTTATCAAAAAATCTCTCGGAAAAAATAATTTCAGGTAACAACACATTATCCCTGTAAATTTCATGACAATCCATCCAGTAATCTTTGAGAAATCGCGTGCACAAAATTTGATGTACGGAAAAATAATAATAACTAGATACGATCTCGTTGCGAGCAACGAGAGGTCTTCCGTCCGTTTTAGGAAAAGAAACCCACGTAAAATCGAGCTGAAAAGAGATTCAAAATTTTGGTCACAAGGAGGATTGAACCCATGTCGCCAACGTGAATGCGTTTTTTTTTTTTTTACTTTTCTATCCTCAACGCGCTAACCATTAAGCTATTGGGAGTACTGCTCTTAACATACTTGTGTATACTTTTGCAACAGTTCACCTGTCTAAGAATTATAAAAAGCATTCATAATTTCGCGCCAAACGCCACGAGTAAATATTCGCGCCTTTTCTTTGGACTGATCTTTTAAATATTTATGATAGCTTCAATTAAATTTTAAAAATAAAACATTCTTAGCGCCTTTATTTTATTTCGACGTTAAGAAAGTATATGTAACACATAATACACATTACATATTGTATCTAGCCCAGTTTAACTAAAGCAGTGAAACGGAAATTAAGTTTTAAGATTGACACTCAATTGCAACTTACTACTGTAACGTGTCGGACCTGAGCGGTCAGTAGGTCCGTGCTCGGATTACGGAGTTTTACTGGGGATATGATTGAATGCAATATTTACAGATAATAATATGACACCTGCCTGGTGTCTTTAAATCAAATGACCTAAGTGCTTTGAACACTTATATATCTTCAGTAAATACCGGCACCTGCCTGGTGCCATATGACAATTGCCTCACCATACAACTGACTATATAAGTCAACAGCCACCTGCCTGGTGCCTCTTGATTTAGCCGTTAACACCTGCCTGGTGTCTTACTGCTTACCAAGTTGCCTATATAACTCTAGCCAAGTAGCTACAATATACTTACACAGTATTTAACTTTGTGCGAGCTTCTCTGTCCTAATGACAAACCTATAGCTAATGTCACACAGCTATATTTTAACTAGTCACTGACTACGGCAACTTTGCACAATTCGATTTGATCGATACACTAATTGGTTTCTGTACCAAAGTGAAGACACAACCCAATTGGCTGTACTGCCCCCTTGTATCTCAACTTAATCAATGATCATAAGTTATCAGATATCATATTGATAAAATACTACAGACTGCCTTTCTTTTGGCAACACTATTATTATTTTCTAACAGAACATCATTTATCAATATTACTTGTATAATTCTTTTGTCAATTGACCAATTAATTACAATATTTACATTGATTATCTATTATAATATAAACAAGTAACGGGAGGTAACTCCTCCAACCATTTCACTACTACGTGAGAGTCGAAGTAGTTTTTTACATTTCATGTATCCTTATGTCAGAATGGTTTAATCAAACGCTCAGCTGCCTCATTAAACCTCTACTCGCGAAATGGCGGAGTTGACAGAGAGAGCCGCCATCTTGGTCCCGCTTCAGATTTTCAAATGTTAATATCTAGAGTTCAGACAAATCAATATTCAAACAACTTATATAGTAAGCATCAATCAAAGAGTCTCTATTATCATTCCAAAAATTAATAAAAAATATTGAAAAACAAAAAAGTTAGAAAATGCGATTTTTTCAATTCGCTTCTCCTCACGACAGGAAGTACCGACGACGAACGAAGAGTCGCGTCCTGGATGGTATATATCACGATCTATAATCCTTGAAAGTTTCATGTTGATATCTTTTACCGTTTTTGAGTTTAATCGCGGACAAAATGTCATTTTAATTTCAGAAAATTGTCCATAACTTGGCACCGGAAGCGAATTTCCAAAAAATCTCCCGGATATATAAAATTCATGTAACAGCACATCCGTTCGGAAAATTTCACGTCATTTCATCCAGTAGTCTTCGAGAAATCGCGTGCAAAAAATTAGAAAGTCAAAAAAATGATAAAAAGAATAATAAGAAACAATAGAATCACTATAAGGTCTTCCGTGAAGACGGAAGACCTTAATAAGAAGAAGAAGAAGAAGAAACAATAGAATCACTATAAGGTCTTCCGTGAAGACGGAAGACCTTAATTATCGTGAATACTGATGAGTTCCTCGCAGTTATCTAACTTATCACCGCTCTTTTGTGGGTACTTAGAGAAAAGTCTAAATTTCTGGAGCACATGACATTGTTAACAGTAGTGAAAATCGAATGAATAGAACAATTTTAGATGCCGAAATCACAATGTTTTCCTATACATTGAACTTCAGATAGTGGATTGTCAAATAAGGAAAGTTTAGAATATTTTATCTGCTTAAAAACGTAACGATTTTTAATGAAAAATTAACGAGAAGAGTCCGCTTAGTTAAAAATATCGTTTTAAATGTGACAATTTAGGATTCACTCCTCTCAAAAATATATTAGGCTTGATCAGCAATTTAGCAAGGTATTCCACAAGGAATTTTTACTTATCTGTCCTTATAAATGCTACAATGATCAATCTTGCATTGTCTTGAAAAACACATAGCCCCCACCCTACAGACGTTTCCTTAATCCATCGAGAAAGAGTTCCGCTAAGTTATCAAGTATTATGACGAAATACTTTATAAAATCATGACTTTTCTTTTTTAATGAAATTTAGGAAGAATAAAAAAAAAGGGAAGTGAAATTAAGTTAGAGATTAAGTTGACTTTAAAAACTGCATGAAAAATGCGTTATTGAGAGGAAAAGGGGAAACGGTATATGCGTTATTTTTTGTTAGAAATAGGAAATGGTATATGCATTAACATGCGTGACTGTGGGGAATAGGGTTAACGTTAACAGGATACTCGGAAATCCTTTATTATTTATCAGCAATGTTACTTGGAACCATAAAGATAATAGAACACAGTTCAGGAACTGTGGATCTAAAGTTTTTTTCTTTTTTTTTTTTTTTTTTTTTTTTTTTTTGAAAAAAAGAACTATTTATAATTCATATTTCAGGTTTTGTATTTTCTGATGAATTTTTGAACTTGCAGTTGAATACTTTTCGTTATCACCATGCATTTCACTTTGTGCTTCTTTGATTTTTTCTGTAGAACCATTTTTGTCCAGAGTGTGTATAATTATATTTTCAAAAAAAGAGTAAAAAATATAATCTTTAATTCTTTGCTCTTATTTAACTCTCCAAACGAAAATTTACAAAATTTGATGAGACGTGAAGAATTGAGTAAAACACAAGTAATAAGAAAGGTCAACCTTAATGGATATTCTACTGCTGGAAGTGATAAAAATAAGTAATAATACAAATAAAATATATAACTAGATGAGATCTCGTTGCGAGCAACGAGTGGGTCTTCCGTTCGATTCTTGATAAGATGAGATAAGATTTTGATTGAGATTTTTTTACAATGATTATATTGTTACGAAAAACAATTAAACTGCCGTTATGTTACAAAAAAATATTGAACGTTACATAATCCAAAATTCGAGTTCTACTCCCTCTTGACCCCTTATGTGA